GATTTCATGGGTTGAAAATTGAGAACATCACAAGGGTTCCTACAACCTTTGTTGACACATATGTAGCAGAAGTTATTATTTCCCAGTCTCTGAGAGAGTTCTCAATTTCTCCTTCTCTCTGTTGGTCTTCCTCTCCCCTTCCATCCATCCGGTGTATGTGTAGGAGGGATAAAGGTCGTCCTTTTGTCATCAAAACTCCAGATTAGTTTTGCCTCGGTGCATCTGACTCTCCGCTTTATCACTGTGGCCAGAGGAGCCACAAGGTTCAGCTCACCCCTCTGCAAAGTAATAACTCCTACCAGCCACTATCCTATTCTCTGCTGCTATCTGCTACACTACTATTACTACTCCATTCTGAGGTGGGGGGGATTATTTTCGTGGCACCTGCTTTATTGGGCTGTATAGTAAAGACTGACAAGGAGAAGGGGGAACGGGAAGATATGACATACGACATACAGTTTGTGTCACAAGCCACCATCAAACTGACAAAGTTGTAAGAGTCGCTTGATCCACTGAAGCCCAGAGCAGAGCTAAATGAGCTGCTGACAGCACGTCTCAAGCCTATCTGGCTTTTATTTTATTATTTGTGCATTGATGTGGTTTTGAGTTATTATTTTTTTGTAATTTGATGACTTGGGGATTTTGCTGAAAGTCAGTTTGGCTAATATCACAGCAGACTCCACAACAAGACGGCGAAATGAAGGATGTTATTGAAATGTTTCCTCTGGCTTTCGGCGCTGTGAACGACTGCAAGTAAGACAGAAAAAGCTGCCAACGGGGAACGGAGATCTTCTGAGGATTACGTAAAAGTGGCATGTGATTCAGACAAGTGTCTGCAAGAGCATGAATGCAGCGCGAGATGATTACACCGTCAGTTAGAGCGCATGAATTAGCGCGCAGCCTGTCCGCTCTCGCAGGCGTTTGTTAACCTTCTCCCCTCCATGTAAACACCGGTCACCTCTGCCTTCAGCTAGAGAGACTGCCAGGTCAGAGGTCAGCGGGGGTACATCAAGGTCGCTGACAGTTTTCAGAGCAATGAAAAGGTCTTAATGGTCTTAGCTCTCAGTTCAGCTCATTGAAATCTTCAATTTGCCTTCCTTTTTTTAAATCTGTTAAATCAAGTTAATTGATCCACTATTAGCTCTTGAACCTAAAATAGCATTCTGATCGTTTACTTCCTGTTTTGTTTTTTTTTTACACTTGTGACATGAAAAAACGCCGGATTGATTTAAAAAAAAGTTTTATTTTAAATCTTGCACACCTCGAAAGCCGAGGATCCGTTGAGCTGGAAACATGCAGCAGGAAGTTTAGCTTTGTCGATACTGTGTCAGAAACACTGACTTAGGAAAGCAAGGCCCTTTCAAAATAAAACATAATTGCTCCTAAACACAGCTCACAGTTAGCCTTTTGGTTGGTTCTTTTTTTTCCAAGGAAAAATTAACAGTCTGAATCCCACTTATGTTTTCTAATCAACGGCTGAAGCACAATTTACAAGAGTATGGGATACTGTAATATTTCAAATATATATGAAAAAAATGCCATTTTGAGAAAATAACTAATTTCGAGTTAGCGCTGCCCATTAGGAAGCTTTGTGAAGTTACATCATTTCCTTGTTACCTGGAAGCAGAAAGCTAAAGGCATCCACCGTCCAAACCTTCATGCCATGTTATCGTTCACTAGAAGGCATTCAAAGCTGGAGAACGTGGTGCCAGTTTGTTCACATTGATAGCTCACTGATCCTGTCACTATTCCAGTGCTCGTGCATATGCGTCATCTGCTTCTGGGAAAAGGGCATCCTTCATGGAGCGTCCTGACTGGCAGAGCTGATGCGAAAGAAATCAGAATTTCAAAATCCATCCATTCGCTTCCGCTTCT